TTTTTCACTGGAAAGTGAAAACACAGCAGTATAGACATATTTAGCAAATATATGCACTTCAATTTTATACCCCACTAATTTCTACATTCTTACAAAAAATTCTACTAATAATCAATATCTAGAAATTCCTGATCAAAACTTTGGGTTTTCTAAAGCCACTAAGATGTTAATTGATGTTTTACCATATCTGCAAGGGCATTCTGTAAGTGCCAATATTAGTAAAAGATGTTGAAGCTCAACATGGTTCAACTATTTTTAGTGCTAGTTCCTATTCCGGCTAATCTCTTATTTAGTAAGCCATTTAATATATCAAGTCTGGAAATTAATGCAGGTGGTATTGTCAACAACACATTGAGACCGCCTGTGCCAAGCTTCTGTGACACTGAGTGGAGAATGCTCATGGAACAGTGTTGGGCTCCAGATCCTGCCATCCGCCCATCTTTCACTGAAATTGCCAGACGGTTACGTACCATGGCTGCTGCCTGTCCAACAAGACCACACGCTCATTCAGCCAAGTGATGGCGTTGTGTCTATCCCTTCTTTCTTGGTATCTGCATGAAAGTTTCTTTTACAAGTATACTCTGTTTATTCTGTATTATTCAGAGAGAGGAGACTGGTCTCCTTTAGATTCTGAAACAACATTATATGGGAAACATGAAAAACTTTTTATATATGTAAAACATCATTTTGTATCTGTGATAGATCGAAATGTAATATTCTTGGTGATATTAATAATTATAACTATTACCTGTCTTTATTTGGAGTTAGCTGAGGAGATGAGATAAAAAAAAAAAGTTGTTCCTTCTAAAATAACTCAGAAACGGAAAGGAGTAAATAGATCATCTCCTCACTTTTTCTTCATTAGCTTAGAGGGGAACAAAGTGAATAAATTACAGGCGTGCTGAAGTATATTTATTGTATCATCTTTCTTGTATAGAAGCAAGACATATTATATATAGTTGATAAGTAAACACTCGTATGCACACTGTGTACTCGAACAGTTGCATTCCTTATATTGTCTGCAAGTGTCTAGATGCGAGCTCTCAGAATTAAAGTGTCTAGATGTGAGCTCTAGAATTGAAGTGCTTACTAATAAGTTAGGGGCCAAATTTGAAAGTTTGTTTAGTTCACTACTTCACAATGCAAATGGACATCTACATGAGGCAATCATATTATAGTATTTTCAAAGTCAGCAATATGATAATCTACTATACAAGTTTTTGAAGGCGAATTAACCAAAACAGAATATACAAGTTTTTGAAGGCGAATTAACCAAAACAGAATGGTGCCGCCTACTCACTGAGGGATTGCCATTTTTGCTATAGTTGTATTCTTCTATGCAGTATGCAAGAACGAGCAGTTGTACAAATAATTATGTGCATTCATCTTATCAAAACAGGAGCACTGCTATTATCCAAAAGTTATATAATACATGAGCTGAGACACTGAAGAAAATCCATAATATTTATTTACACATAGAAAATCTGTCCAACATTCAAGAGGCTCTCATGGGGTACATTGAAGATGACACTATTTTCCCTGCATATTTTCCTAAGGAATGCATATATATAGTCTATAGCAAGTTTCTTATAAATCCTGGATTCCCTTCTTGCTCTAATTACAGTGTTTCCAAGTATGTGTACAACCCCAGCATCTCTACAACTGTTTAAGAATTCCAGTTCATCTACTTCGGTCTGGCTGCTCTCGTGGCCTGATGATGTGATTGTGCTGTTTCCCTGAGGATGACATTTGGCGGGGGCTATCGAGTCCATTGATGAATAACTGAGTTCAATATTTGCAGTTGATGAGTTCCCATTATAATCTCTTGAATGTTGTGTTTGCTGTCCATATAAGCTGTATTCATCAGAGTCCGAGCAGCCATCCATCATCGAATCCAGCCGGACAAACATAAAGAGATTATCGAAAAGCTTTTTCTCAAAGTCATCATCCTTCTTATGGAGGTCTTTGTAACCATACCTAGCAACACATCGGAACATGTGATAATTCCTGGGTCCTATCCGTTTCACAAGGAATCTTTCATCTTCTGGAACTGTATAAACAGGAAGGTACTTTACACACACAAATACCACAACTGAGTGTATAGCAGGTAGGTTGGTAATGAAGTGAGAAAAGATGTGAGGCACTCCACTAGCTAGCTCGGTGTACACGAGTCCAATTCCTGGCACACGTACCAATCCTAAACTGGGGCCAAGCCCCAGAATCCATGCCATAGATACCTTGCTGTGCATCTCAAATTCATAGCGTTTCACTGTTCCATAATGCCATACATACATGATGACAAGAAAAGCTGCAGCAATCACGAGGGGAACCCAACCACCCTGGTCAAGCTTAAAAAGTACTGCTGAGAAGTAGGTACATTCAACCACCAGAGATAAGACAGTGAAGATAAGGACAACAACCCAATGGCAGTGCCATACTAGTAACATTATCAAAGTCATGAGCAATGTCGTCACCAGCATGACTATCACCACTGCTGTTCCTGTTCAACAAATGACATGTCAACAAGTGAGTTTCAAGGAAAGGCTGTTGTCAACAGTAATAAGAAATCAATTGCAAGACTTCAGAACAGGGATTATTAATATGAAAAAATGGACACATCTTCTGGATTGATTTTTTTGGGATAACTTTAAACTGATGTGCCACTTCCATTTTATTGTTGAACCACTAGACACACCTTATCTTTCTCTCCTCCAAATGAAAAGGAAAGAAACCTAAACCATAGACGGCTGATTAGCTCGCGGCTAATATTAAACTACATTCTAATTGTTGAAATCTAGACTTCAAGTCATCAGCAAAATTGTGAATTTTGCATACATGTCAGCGAAAGCACCAAAGAGAACTACAATAACCTACAATGACCTGATTCAGTACATCATAGAGATAGGAAATCAACATGCATCAGCTCGAGTGCATGTAACTCTATCACCAAAAAAGATATGAACCCCTAATTAGGACCATACATAAAGGAAGACAACAAACAGAAATATATTTATCAGTCAACCAGTGTCCCCTCAGAAATTTAATCTTATCAAGACTGAAATCTGTCTTTGCATGTTTAAAATGCCAAAGGAATCAAGAAATATTAGATGTAAGGCACAAACTCACCGTAAGCATTGCCTATTTGGCTTTGATTTTTAAATCCAGCAGTAACGGCAATGCAAAGAACCATAAGAATCCAATTAATATCAGGAATATATATCTGCCCCAAGAACTTCTTTGATGTATGCACAACCTTTACTCTTGGGAAACAGCCAAGTGCTAGAGCTTGCTTGATTATTGAAAAAGTTGCAGATATGGTAGCCTGACTGGCAACAATAGCAGCTAAAGTTGCAATGACAAAAACTGGCCAGTATATGCTTTCTGCATTAAAAAAAAACGATTATTTCTGGCCAGATACATTATAACTAGTATATTTAGTAACCTTTTAATACTACCATATCTTCCTTGATAATTCTACTTTGTTTTCCCTCTTTTTTCTTCAAAGGTAGGCGGAAAATGGTATCCACAGAGACTTTA